TCAGCACTTTGAGGATTTACAATTGATTCAGTGGAAAATAAATACTCCTGTTCATAAAGAAAGACAAAAAAATATAAAACAAACATTATTGACAAGATTTTTATTATTTTATCTATTAAAGTATTTCAGTAATATACTTATTCTAATTGATCTGGTTTATTCTATAGTGAAATCCAGTTCTTTTTGTAAAAACGAAATTATAAACTATAGCACTTGTATTTGTTGAGTCATAACTGATTTCATTCATGTTATATTCTTCCTTACATTTCATTTAAAGAACAAGTATGGTATATTACAGGTAGTTGTGTAACCTAAGGATTTTAGCCATTTAAGTAAGAATTTAAACTGTCAATAGGGTAATAAATAAATTAGAAAATTTATTTAAAAAGTATACAAGCCGTTTCCAGCTAAATAAAACAAGTCTCCTTTTTACTGCTACATCTGTGTTATTTCTGAGTCTGTTACTTACTTACTTACTTACGCCTGTTACTCCTCATGGAGGAGCATAGGCCTCCCACTAGCATTCTCCATCCAACCCTGTCTTTGGCGGTCCTTTTCAGCTTTTTCCAGTTGTTATTCAACCTTTTCATATCTGCTTCTATTTCCCGACGTAATGTGTTCTTTGGCCTACCTCTTTTCGGCTTCTCTTCAGGATTCAAGTTAGTAAGCGCTTGCCTCATGAGACGGTTTGGTGATTACCTTAATATATGTCCTATCCAACTCCACCTTTAACACTTCTAGATTTACTGTCAGTCTCAAGCCCGGGTAAAGGAGGAGAGTTGGGCATGGGATTAGCGACCTCATCCCGTAGAAAACTCACTAGCCAAAAAAACGCTAACCAGAAAAAGATAATTCCAAGTCTCTTAGAAGAACGTAAATAGCTACACAGACAACTCCATATAACTAGGAAGTTATTCGTGTGTATAATCATAAATTTATGGAATTTGTGATATAACATACATACATAGCATATATAAAGCTCAGATAACATAGTACAATCAAAATATTCTAGATTCAGAAAAAAAAATCTGTTTAACTAGAATTATTTATAATCTTACTCTAGGTACACCATAACGATATATTGATTCACGACAACGTCTTAAATTTCGACGATAAGATTTGACTACCTCATTTAACATATTATTACGCTGATCATTTCTAGGTAAACAGACCTAAATAAAAATGTAAATTAATTGAAGATTTATTAAAGAACAATATAAATAAAACTAATCTTAAGAAAAATTTATAATAATTTAGACTTCAATAATGTTTAAAAGGTTAAACAAGAAAAGATGTATAACATTAAGTTTATTGAACTGTAGTGTCTGTTATTATGTTAAGCCCATATACCTTGTTCTAGATTTCGGACAGCCCAATCTATTTATTCTACTTGAGTCACATTCTAACCTTGTTAATTATTCACCTATCAATCTTGACTGTGTTCATATGAGCGCGTGAGTGTGTGTACACTTCTTATCCCATTACTCTACATGTCTGTAACTTATTTTTGTGTAACTATAAATATTGATTAACGTTTGGTCAAAGGGGAGTTGGCTTACCCGCCATCTCCACTGTGAGTCGTTTCTCTTCTCTGTTCCATTCGCTTCATATACAAAATATGTGTATTCAAAAGTCCATTCTCGTTATTTGACTTATTTAATTCCGTTATTCACTAACGCGATTTAAGTCAATGATTATAGACGAGGATAGGCGATAACAAACATTCATATGATCAGAACTCGGGCTACTAAAGTGGAGAGCCCTTCGACGAGCATCGTCCGATCTAAATGACAAAACAAAATAGTGGACCCCACTAAAGTGGTGAGCCCGCTGACGCCAATGCGCGTCATTTTTGCTTCGCTTTCTTCTCATCGTTTCCCCGTTCGTTTGTCTGGATCAACGATTATACAAAATAAAAGGCCCCACAGAACCAAATGTATATAGTTGGTAATTTAATTATATGAAGAAAATAGGAAAATGAAAATGTATGCATAAATCCTCAGTATAATCTACTACGAACAGATTGTTAACAATTTTTAAAGGTAATTAGATGACAATAGTTAGCTATAAATATGGATGAGATTAAATTCAAAACCTTTTGAGGTCAATACTACACCCTATCGATAGTATGATATACTCTTCTTAGTAAAATCCCTACAGGATATACAGTATTTTGTACTCTTCGTTACAATTAAATTTTGGAAAATTATGTTCTGCTTAAGGTGACCTATTTAACATTAATTTTAATAAACTGTGGAGATTCTACAAAATTTGGAAGATTTATGATGACTATTAAGTTTGAAGTGAATTTCCATCTTTCTTTTGAGAGTCAATAGCAGCTCAAATAGCTCAGCAGTAAGGTCTCGGACTGTGAAATTGGGTTGAGTGTGTTAGAAACCCATAAGGAGCACCAATTCTCTTGAGATTACATTTAAGCTTTATTGATTAGTCTTAAATAACAGGAAATCTAGGTCCACGATTTATTAGTCAACTAACTACCTCCAACCAACATCCCAACATAGTGAAAGCGACATCGAGTCACTCAGACAAGTAGCCACATAGGAACTTGATTAGCACTAAAAGCTAGAAAAATACAGCGATCAATCATTTGCAAACTAACACGAGCTATGAAACTACTGAAAACGTCTACGAACTGTTGAATAAATTTAAATAAGCAATAAAATGGCTATTCAATGCTATTTATGTTTTCCCTGATCTTCCAATTGACATCAGTGGACAGTGAAAACTAAACCTCCTAACAGTAATCCTATACTTGATACTAATTAGGTTAGAGATAAGGGAACTCACCAGTAAAAAGGCGGCTCAGTTGTTCAAAAGTTTATTTTTAGCGCGCGAGACCGAAGGCCCTGGGTTCGAATCCCAAGTGCGGAATCATATATGCACACTTCTGTGGAGTCCTATACTAGGACGAGACGGCTATTCAGTGCTTCCAGGTTTTCAATGATGGTGTAACATCAATATAAAAGCAGCCAATAGATCATGTAATAAACTCTGAGTGAATGGAGTTAACATTTACTATTGTTTTTCAGTATAGGGTAGTGAAGTGAAGTTCTCTGAACAGAATGTCAGACAAGAACGCATCATGATGAATGATTATTCACTGATTCACACAAATTCCATCTGGATATTCAGTAGTCGGTCGGTATATATACACAAATAGTTTATGTCAAAGCTGAACTCAAATGCATTTTATGAATTATTACTGAGGATAGATTATAACACATTGATTGAATATCATAAATTCGATAACATAATTCATAATAGCTGACTTTTTGAGACTCTAACCTAACCTAAAGACATAACCGATTGGAGTACGAATGACATACGGAATCGATTTTTTTTACCAATTATCTGTTACATGTAATTACATCCTGAATTTCTAGTTTTAGTTTTAGTGGCCTGGAAATCTGACTCCAGTTAGATCGTTTCTGATTGCTATCGAATGATCGCTGTCGAAATATACATATCGCCACTCCTCATTTATAATCATCGACTTAACTCGCGTTAGTGAAAAACGGAATTAAATAAGTCAAATACGAGAATAAATTCTGAATACAATTGTTGATCCAAACAAACGAGTGGAGAAACGAAGCCTAATGATCCGCGGTGGAGTGTGAGCCAACTCAATTTTACCAAGCGTGAATCGATATTTACAGACAGACAAAAATAAGTTACAGACATGTGATGAGTAAGATAATAAATGTACACACACGCCTACATAAAAACAATCAAGGTTGGTAAGCTAATAATTAACAAGGTCAAAATGTGATTTAAGAAGAACGAATAGATGGGTCTGTCCAAAGGCTAGAACAAACTGTGTGGGCTTGACATAGCAACTGACACTACAAAATAATTGTATAGCTTGGTCAATTAGTTATATCCGTTATTTATAGATGTCTAATTGTATGACACGGAAAATGTGTTCATATAGTAGGTTATTGATTAATTGATGAAACATACTACTTAGTTCAAATTATACAAATCTAACTAGAAATAAATCGTGTAAAAATTGGTGTATTCAGACATTAGGTTCATTAATTTTCTTAGCTCAAATCATTCCACAATATCAATCTTCGTGTTCTCACTACGTGTCGTTGGATTTAGAGTTTAAGCTCCAAGTACAAGTCAGTCAAGCGAATCTGCAGACACGACAGTGACAGACGTAATAATATGTATTTACAGTTCTTAACATTTTGTCGTTGATAAAACAGCTTTGATAATAATAGAAGGATTTATTTTACCTCTACACGATTTCATATTAGAAAAATATGATCATTGTAAATAAATTTCCTTGAATCATCAATTGAAAATATCTTAGTTCTATAGGAAGTCAACCACAGGTTGAATCGCTCAGTGGAACGTCTCAGTCCACGAACCTGGGTGATATAGGTTTGAATCCCGAAAGAAGCATCTGTTCTCTCGAGATTGCAAGTACATCTTGCTGACAAGTGACAACTAGTACGAAACCTAGTTTTAGTGTTTCCTGGTGATTGACTCCAACCACCTAACACAAACTATAGTTTCCAATTTCTGTAAGTTAACGCATTTAGCGAAAACAGACTCAATTTATTAGTATAAATAATGAAATTAATTACAATAGGGCATCATATTAAGGTCAATTAACATTTGTAATAATAAACCTTGATTCAACTGCTTATAAACCATAAAACAAAATGACATTTTACAATCTATGGACAATACATTTAGTGACTGACTAAATAAGAGGAGAATAGTTTCAATTATTCTTATTATTTATACACCTTAATTAGTGGTTGATGTTATATCCTGATGAGAATAATAAAAGGTAACCGTTGGGATCCATTTATGGACTAATATTATATGTATCTTCTTAATGTATTACTATTAAGTAACTATATTTTATGTATATTTATATTCTTTTCATTATAAGCTTTCGTTTAACCTATTAACTATTATCATACAATGTACCATTTTTGAAATATTCCCAATTTAGTAGTAACAGCTCACAATCACAGCCACTTTTGGCTAGATCTTGTACAAATGATATTTTCTATTTTATTCTGTGATATGGTCTGATTTGTTTGTATATAAACCCAGTATGTCTGAAATATATGATTCGTATCGTGGAGGCTGAGATTGGCATTCTGGACTCAATAGGTATGGTTAGTCGGGAAAAGGACTAATCGGAACTATAGGCTGTTCATACAGATGTATGCGTCATTAGTTGATCGTATAGGTCGGCGTATCTAAATTGGCAATCGCATTTCGCAATGATCGTATAGGTAAGGTCATAACAGTTGAAATTCGAAAAAGCGAACGTTTGGATCCTATTTATTTAAGCTCAGCAAGTAAAACAGAACGATATGGAAAGTTTACTAAAAAGAGTTAAATATAATTTCTAAATCCTTTGTTTAGTGATATTCAATTGAAATTCTGTAGTAGAAGCACATAAAATAATGTAATTGAATATAAGGTTTTGCTAGAAATTTATTCAACTAGAATGACAGGTTGATTTTACAATAATTCACCGCTTAAATGTAATTGATGTTACATCTAGTACTTAGTGTTGATTGAATTCTATCGACTATGTAGTAATGTAGTCACCAGTTCAGGTGAATTAACATTACAGTAACTGAATGGATAAAGTAATGGCGTTTGAAGTGAACGGTACTGGGTTTGTGTCCTAGAGTAAACATTAACTCTGGGATGCAGGTATATCTAGCTGACGAATCCAAATTAGGACGAAACGCGCGTCCTGGACTCCAATGTTAGTCACCATACATCTTTGCTTCTAATGCGATCTGCACAGGATGTACATATTCCAATAAGAGACTGATCAATTACAGTCCTAAACATCAGTAGGAAAATACAAATAAACAATACAAAATGAATCATTATGGTACACATTTTTGAAGTTAGGTATATGTAGGTAATCGATTGGAATCTGTTGTCCAATCAAATCGACTACACACAAATGGATGGTAAAGACAAATGATAATTTTAGTTTACAGTGAAAGGTTTGTACTCAGTACATAAAATTTAGATTAACTAAAATAAAGACAAATGAATAGGCTCCAAAAACTAACAGTTTATAAAATTCCCGTAATTATCTATACATTAATCAAGTGTTGGTCTTATGTAAATGACGAATTTCCTGGAAATTTATAAATTTCTGAGACTAAAGAGTGGGAATCTAATTCAAATATTATTTACATAAATAAATAAAATTTTCATAATATTAGATTTAATATAATCATTCAAATTGTTTTCATCATGGCTCTACACTAATATATATAGCTCTTTATTTACCAAATGTCAAAATGGGAATTTTCATTCATATTGTTTCGAACTACTCACAAGTATATAAATTTTGAAACAAGGTTAAAGAATAGTTCACCAATTTAATAACAATATGATTGTATTTCCTTAGAATTTAACTGATCTTACCATATAACATCTACCCTCTAGAACTTCTAGATACTAAGAAGTCTTACTTTATTTTCTGTTGATATATAGATTCATACTTATATCCTACTACTAAATTGCATTACATGTAATAACTCAGATTAAACGATATAAAGACTATCGAAGTATATTTAGTGGTTAAAAGTTTTTTTAAGACAAAAGAGGAAAATAAACAAAAAAATACTATGTTGTCCGATTTCTTTGACACTTTTACATATGTTTCTTATTCGTAAGATTTTAATCGTTTTAAAGTCAGGGATAAATCTACGAACTGCTCAAGAGTCCCATACTAGGATGAAGCTGCCGTCTTGCGCTTCCAGGTTTTAAATAGTGATCTGACGTTGATCGGTTCATGATATTAATTAGAATTCAACAGTCCCCACAATATTATATTGATAGTAGATTCATTACTTATGTTGATGAACCTTTATGTACCTCGAATACTAGTCTTTTATATTCTTCAACAGATTGATTTGTACTCGATATACTCAAATAATCACCATTCTGGATTGTTCATAAAGTAGATTATGTCTATCAGAGTAGAAATTTTTATCCTAATTAGAGACTGTGGAGGTTCAAATAATTTAAAAATAGGTTCTGTTCGATAAATGATACAATTCCGATTTAAAAATTTGTACATCTTCATAGGGGACGTGAACAAAACTGACTAAGAATACATATTCACAGCTAAGAGTACAGTTTATTAGTCCTGTTTATTCAAAGCATAAAGACGAACACTTATGTGAGAAAATTACTCATGATTCACTAATTGTAAGTGACTGATAAGTTGACGAGTCAATTGATCTAGTGAAGACTATTTCTGGTAAAAGCTGTGAACACTGAATGTTCGTGGCTTCGCTAAACACACATAAATATATGGTAGGTTTAGTGTTGACAAAAATGTAGGATCTTTTTTCCAGCTTTCAGAAGAATGATGGATGAACGACAGCCAAAATAAACCAATGATAACCGATTATGATGTCAAGTGGCATGACTTGGCATACCACAGAGAGTACCAGTTTCATTCGGATTCCAGGTACTCTTTGCTAACCTCGGTCTAGGGTATCCTGACAACTATCTTCAACCACCCAACATTTCAGTTTCCTTAGCTTAACATCATCAACATTAGTATACAGTCAGGAAATAAGCATAATATCTTTAATCAAACGACCTGTCTTCACAATTGATTGATCACTGGTTGGTGATCAATGTCATATGTGTCAGGTCCTTCTGAGTGCAAATCGAATGTTATCGACCAAGTTGAAATGTGACCACTAGTCTAAGTGACTCGACAGTGCGTGACTTGTCTTAAATATCTAACAATGAATAAAACTTTCTAATTTTGTATATATGTTTGATCGATATTTGTATTGGATTCATTTATTGACAGATTTCTATATATCCTCCCATAGTTTTGAGAATATATCTGTTAGTAGTTAAAGAAATATGAGTATACTTTGAGCTAATTTAAATAGATTGTTCAGTTAAAACATTAACCACATCCCCATGTGATAGGGGATATATATATATATATATATCCATAGTTTTATACCTTCTTTTTGACAGTAAGTAACCTTGGATTCACAAATAACAGTACTCATAAACATATAAATATTGGTGCAAACGGATACCAGAATATGACTGCGCCACACATAAAAGTGATATCGTGAAAAGATAGAGAAAGACATGCCTGGTAGCTTATCGAATCACTGTGTACCAACATTCCTAGGACCCAAAGAAAAAAGTCGTGGAGGACCAACAAAAGCCAGTTCTGTACAGCTCTATCTCATACCACGCCACCATGTCATAAACTGGCCACTCCTCCTCTTTATTCAACCACTATCAGCGTCGGTATATAATGCACGAAGTGGAATTCAATGGGGTGGCATTCGTAGTACATGTTCAAGCCACCGAATTCGGTGTCTCAACATAGTGACACCAACTGAATTATAATCACTGTGCTCAAACACATATTTCCGAAACTCCGCATCACTAGCATGGTGTTGCCACTGAATGTCAGAAATCTTCCTGAGATAAGGATGGTCAAACACAGAGAGTCACTTGACATAATCAACTTGGAGATGCTTACTTTCACAAAAATTGAGTAAAACTGCTCTTACTGATGCATTGTGAATTTGACTTCTTATGGTCAGACTAACATAACAAAGGCGCCAAAGATGGTCCACATTATGATTAACTGCTCTGGTTTTCACTATACATGGATTAATCTCATCACTCACACCACCATCAAATAGCTATTTATTTTCCAACTCATACAGCTCCTTCTCTATGTTTATCATACCGAACAGTAATCAGAGAATAGGAAAAAATGAGTCAACGAAGCGAATATTGTTTCAAAATGAACATAAAATTATGATTGGTGGATAGAAAAAAGTATAGTCATACAAGGTCGAGGAAAGTTAACGTGGTGGTGGGCGTTTCACCTTATCATTGGTGCGTTCATTTATCGATCATATTTTACAAGTGTTTCACTGTAAAATGTAATAACTGCATAAAGATATCATCTTCATGACTATGTATCCGCTTTCTTTGTACTCGACAATGTTATTCGGACTATTTTATGAGCGTTTATATCTCTTCGTTATAAATGCTAAGGACTGTAATTGATTAACCACTATTAGCATACGAACAACGTAGGTGAACTGCCTCAGTATCTCCATTCATTCGGAAGATGGTTAGTAGAAATATTGGGTCAATTCTTTCAGGAGATACATAAAATAACGAAGACTGATCGTCTGCAGTCTTTAACATCTACTTTGAAAAGATCTAAACCTTTTCAAATAAAATTCATAACCTAATGGCTGTTTGGATAACGTGTTGATGCTTGGAGTAAAAGGTAGGAGATTCAAATGTCAGTGTATACAAGAACACTGAAGTGCCAGTAAATTCAATCAACCAGCCCAAATAGAATGAAACATTCTTCCTTGACCCCACTGTTAGCAACTCTCTAAAGTTAATAGAAGTTTGATACATATTTATTTGTCTTGGTTGTTTGATTCTTTACATTAATGTTTAATGCTGCAATTTATCAGCTTCTTTCGGAATATATGCACTTAGCGCTAATTGCCTTGATGTCGCTACCTAGTCACAAGCATTCTAGATAGATATAGAAGGTTACTAGCAGCGGAACCCAGGAAGCATGTTTTGTTATATATGGAACTTGTCTTCTATATATACCTGCTTCCCTAAGTTAATATTCATTCTGTTAGTCGAACCCAGTGTCTGTGCAGAATGTCTCAAAATTGCCATTAAGTTACAAACCAGTAGTTATCTGGATTCAGGAAATTAATGGATAACGCATTGGAGTTTGCAGCGAATTGCATTGAGTTCAAATATCGGAGTTTGCATCAACTGCGATGCAGGTACATTGACTTGACAAGTCCTAAATAGGATGAAACATGCATTTTGTATTCCACCTCTTGCTAATATCCGTTTTTACTTAAGATACTTTTGATAGATATTGTTACATGTAATATCAGTTCAAACAATAACTAACAATTTTTATTTGAGGAATAGAGAATGCGACTGTTTTTCATTTGATGGTATAAACAATCAATTCAAATGAATGAATCATATATTTAAATACACTCACTTTGATATTTGATGTTGTCCCGATAAATTTATTTAGTAACTGAATTAAAATAACACCAGTACTTAATTCAATAACTAAGTGTTTTGGATTTATTGGTAGACGAATGTTTAATTCATTATCGATTATCTATGAAAATTATTATCAATAAGAAAAATTGAATAAGAACTATTAAGAAATGAATAAAAAAATAAAAAAAATTGAATCCGTTTTTACAAAATGTTTACCACCATTATCTTGTCTAAATATGGAAGACTATATAAAGGATACTGTTGGGGTTTTCCAGAAAACTTCTCGCAAAAGACAAGAAAGGATCAAGAAAACACTAAGAAGCATTTTATCCAATCACCGTTCACTTGTGGTTTAACCAGAGACATCAAGAAAGTGAAACTTCACATGTAGAGTTTCTGATTTGCTGGTTACTATACTACTACTATGTTTAGTAGCATTCCAAAATCTTCGGGAAACCCAAGGACATCTAAAATACTAAGAAAAATCCTATATTTTCCGCACTAGAACGAACATTTGGAGTAAAGTGCTTCTCGCATATTTTGCGCCTTCTCTCTCGTGTTTAGGTCGCTGTGTAGTTCTAGCTTGAGGGTTACGAGAATAGTTTAGGAACTGAATATAGTGTTCAATTAGCAAGACTTATCAGGTACTAAGACGAAATGATCTTGATTTTTCAAAATCAATAGAATGGTTCTTTATATATTACGTCTTTTCACCCAGTATTTGGTTAATATGATACCCATAAACTTTTTAACAAAGTGAGTTTTTATTTACAAAAATAAATGATACTTAAAATAAATGATAAGTTCAAAATGTCAGACGGGGTCTTTTTGGATATTATAGCACTTTGAATAGTTGAGATCATGAGTCAATTGAAGCTAGACCACCATGGAAAACCTGGGTTCAAATCTCGCGAGGCGGGATCGTGGATACGCACTACCAAGAAGTCCCACAATAGGACGAAACGGCCATTCAGTGCTCTCAAGTGTTCCATGGTGATCTAGCTTCAATTGACTCATGATCTCAACTATTGAAAAAGTTCAAAATGTCTTAAAATACCATTTATAACTAGAACTGAAAAGTTAAAATAGCAAATAAGATCCCTGAAAGTATGTAAAGGGAAAACAAAAAAGTACTAAGATTTAACGTGAATTCATCAGGTTTTACTGATTTTAAGTCAGTATTCAGGGGTTCAGACTTACTGACTTATAGATACACAAAAAATCTCAATTTATCGTTAAAAATCTAAAATGAAATAGTTTAAAACTTGTTACACATGAAGTAACTCTTGATTTTTCTTTAAGTTTGAGATTGATGATGATTATACATATAAATTTTTTAAACTTAATTCGCTTTACTCTAATCATGTTTTCTTTACGTCTCGTGCATGATTATCTTTAAAGTTTTTGTTATGTCAACTTCTATGTTGCGACGGTGAATTGTGAATTTTCTAAGTTTGCGATTAGGCCTACGATAGTTACTAATTACTTCTGATTTAGGATATTCTTATCATACACAATCAGATCTACGTAAACTCAATGGAACGAATGACTGGCACAAAACACGTTATCAATAATCTCAACGCAATGAAACACAAAGTTAAGGTTGGAGTTTAAGGGAAGCATAGTGTTCAAAAGAAAAACTTATATAGGAACGACAATTCATATATAACAACTAACAATGACTATGGAACAAAACAGAATTAGTAAACTAAAAGTGAGAACAATTAATCCAAAACAGCAAAGGTTATTGTGGAAATATGGACTAGAAAAAATGATATTGCGATCATCTATACATGTAAGAGCCATCGTTTATTAGCAAAATAACAGATGACAGAATAATAGCAATTTAGATAGTTCCTAGATCTTAGTTTCTACCGGATCTTATGTTGGCTATAACAGAGTCTGTGTGGGAAAAAAAATTAACTTTCAAAAGCTTAAATTCCACCAAACTAGGAATTAAGATATTTATATATGTAACTACTAGAAATAATAATGTAATCAGTATCTGTTGAGAACAAAAGAAGGAACTGACTAATTATGACTTACTCTTCTTAATCGATTAATTCTTCTTAAATCATCAGAATTTAATTCCTCCCATTTAACGGTATCCTTATGTGAATTCATTTTCATATTCTTCGATGTATCTATATTCCGAGTTTCAGGTTTTCTACTATCATCTTTACTTAAATAATCAGTAGAAAATGCTATACTTGAATCTTCACGATGTTTATTTGTTTGTGGTTGACAATTATGTGAAGTTTGAATGTTTTTAGGTAATTTTAAAGTACATTCTGAAGGCATGCACAAAGCAACACCAACACGTGTTATTTTATTAGATATATCTTCATCATATAACTTATTTTTCTGAGGATGATATAATATTTGTGTATGATTTCTTCGATTAACTAACTGTTCATCAGTATGGTATTGATTAAAACTTTGACAATCATATTCATTTATTTGAGATATACTACAATTTTCTGATAAATATGAATCTGGTGTTATATTACCAGAACTACTATGAACATTCCTATCATGTTCTATCTAAAATTAAATGTAATTCAAATGATTATTGAGCAGTTAAGATGTTTAAATAAACAATAAAACAATTGATAATATTTTATATAAAAAAACTATTAATATTTTAATTAAAACATTTACTGTCATTAGTCATGGTAATATATTTTCTGGTTAATATATAATTAAAAGAACACCTAGTGTAACCTGCTTGAATATCTGGACTATCTGTTCCTACCATCTAGATATTTCAACAAGTTATCTGTTTTCTTGTTTATTTTAACACATGAATATGCCCATTAGTCGCATAACCTATTCAGGAGCGTTTGTGACAGGTTTACGACATTTCCCATAATCAGAGACATTGCGGTTGCTGAAAATATGTATAGGAAAGAATATACATTATTCAGAGGTTGATTCCTGAACTGCCAACATTTAAGTGGCGACCACTTAATATTTATAACAAGGATCGAAATACTTTGTGCTGAGAATTCTACATTGTACCAAAAATATAATATTGAATAAAGCCAATAACAATAATAACAAAACTGATAATAAAAATTGAGCGAATGAGGTTTTGAGCTTATTAAAGATAGCCATATTAACGATATATATATGCGATTGAGAAGATGCTTGTAAGTTTTCAGCATGACACTTGATATCAAAATGAGAAACAGTGACATGAAGGTAATTAAATGTTAATTGATTCTTAATTTCAGGAATCATCTGTTAAGGAATTAATTCATTTACAGAAAGATTAATGCTTGTAAATATCAGAAGGGGTTTTGTGGAAATTTTTTAGTAATTTTAATAGTTGAAATCATGAGTTAATTGAAGCTAGACCACTATGAAAAACCTAGAAGTACTGAATGGCTGTTTCGTTTTAGTATGAAAATCCTTAGCAGTGCGCACTCACGATCCCGCCCCCCGCTAGACTGATAGGTCCTGGGTTCGAATCTCGCGGAGGGGATCGTGGATGCGCACTGATGAGGATTCTCATACTAGGACGAGACGACCGTCCAGTGCTTGTAAATATCGTCAAGTTTTTTTTAAAAAGAGTACTTTCAATTACTATTCACTGTATGTTATACATTTATCAATAGTTCACTAAATAAACTATGTTTGTATAGTGTAACTTTGATATAATTAGGTAATTTTGTTATGAACGTATATATACTATATTATTTACAACGATTAAATCTGGATTTTGCTTCAGAACCAGTCTATATCAATGGGTAATCTAACATTAGATAAACTGTTTAAAATATTCGCTTATATTAGAAGACAGATCTATGGCTGAATGAATGTCAGAATGGATACAAAATTATCATTCAACTATTCCAACCTGTTCCAATTATAATTACAAGCAAGTTAATAGTCTACTAATCAATTTTTCCATATACTGAGTACCAGTTTTTCGTGCATTATTTTGAGATTGTAAATGTTGCTCTATCAAAAGGTAGAGGATCTACAAAGATGGTTAATATTCGGTCATAGAGATTTTAAAAATTTGTTTCTTATGATATTTGAGCGGAACTGACATGCTGGTAATAAATCGGTCAACTTTTCATGAATGCGCTGAAGAGAGAACTCTTTGCATTAGCATCCATAAATGACTCCTTTTTTAAACAGTTTTCTAAATGAATTGATCGTCAAGGCATGTTGTTAATATATGCTCCCTCGCCTGTTTCGTATTCTAAAAATCAAATATATTTGAATTTCTAGAAACGTGGTAGATCGAATAGATGTTCGGTGTTATAATTTAATTGGTAGCTGCTTCGATATCATATAAATTATCATTATTACTATTATTATTTCGCAAGATTTTCTATGCAGTGAATTAGTCTGATTACGGATGATTATATGTAACAAATGACTCTGAATTAAAAGTGAATGGACGCAAAGACAGTAATTTTTGCCCGTATTTTGTTATTATTATCAATCAGGATGGGACAAGAATGTTTACTATTCCGTGAATGAATTGTTTACATACAGGTCGTATCAGTATGACAGAGACGTTTTATGGTTGGATGAGGTATAAGATAATGCGTTAATGACACTAGAAAAATGTCCCGGATTTGATTAAAATCAGAAAGGTTCATTACTTTGCTTCAGTGACTCCTTGAAATAGAAAAAAGTTTACTTTGAAAGTTCAGTTTGATTTGATTAAAAAGAGGGTTTATTCATTATATACGGTCGAATGATGTTAGCATAGTCTAACAGTATTTTTGTGACAAAAAAAGAGTTGAATTCAGATCCTGGAAGTATTTCTGATGAGTAATAACCCCAAATTATTTAAATCCAAATATTAGTTTTGAAAGAGTATTTGCGAAACACCTTACAACCAGTGAATTTCGAACAAATCATTCTCATTGTAATATACTAATACACTACTCATGAGTAGCTAAACTCCTTTCTCTGAATTTCCAAACCTCATTAATCAGTTTTGTCTTCATGATATCAGTTAGGAAACTCGAGATGAATTTCAAGTTTAAGAAACAAACTTCGGAGGTTTCTGTACGAATATACAAATAATACATCCAATCTAAAACCGTTCTGTTGAAAATAGAGTTTTCAGCCAAATATAGCTGGGTAGTTGTAAGTTACAGACTAACATTTTCTTTACACTCAGTCTAGATTTACAAAGAAAATATCTTTACAATTACTTAGGTAATAAGTATTTGGCTTTGTAATAGTACAACGGAGATAATTTACATAAACGTGTGTTATGGTTGGACAGTGGCTAGCAGTGAAATCCAGGATGCAAGTTTCATCCTATTTGGGACTCATCAGCTGAATATACCTGCATCTCAGTGTTGATGTTCACTCTTGAACTCGAACGCAGTACCGTTCACTTTAAACGCTATCACGTTATCCACTTAGCTACTTAGTCGATAAACAAGGAGGTTCAGATGCAGACGTAGAGGCGAGGATTGGAAAAGCAAGTGCCGCATTACTTCAATTAAAGAACATATGGAACTCAAAACAACTTTCAACCAATATCAAAGTCACAATCTTCAATGCGAACGTCAAGGCAGTTCAACTGTACGGAGCTGAAACTTGGAGAACTACAACAACCATCATCAAGAAGGTACAAGTATTTATCAATAGCTCTCTATTAAAGATACTCAACATCCATTGGCCGGATACCATCAGCAACAGCCTTCTATGGGAGAGAACCAACCAGCTTCCAACTGAAGTCAGTCAGTCAGTAACAACGTGGAACTTCGTACGTACGTACATCAGTTCGAGTTGCTATAGCACATTAGCACAGAGATTCAGTTATCGATTCAAATCCCGCAGTGGTAGAGGTAGTGAAAGTATAAGTAGTAATCGTGAACATTTGGGTTTGATGATGTTATTTAAGGAGTATAGTCCAGTGGAATAGATTTGGAAAGAAAATAAATGACATGAAGAATTCAGAAGATTAGAGTTTGAGAGAACACAGAGAGTGGATGCACCTGTGCCATTGCAAACGATTTTCAGCCATGTCATTCAAGATCTCTAACCATCGGTTGCTATCGTCTCGCGGACCCCAACCAGGTAGTCTACATCTACTAACGTGGCTCAGTCCACTTGTCAGTGACTTCATGGATTTGTGCCATGTTTTGTTCTGACCGCCCCTAGCTTCCTTCCAACCTACTCCCACTCCATAAAACATCGCACATCGGGGCAGTCGGTGGTCGGGCATACGTAAAAAATGTCCCAGCCATCTCAACTGATTAAGTTTCACTACTTCATCAATTGATTTGCCATCCTTACCTAGTACCCGTTTCCTAACAACTGAGTTACTTACTAGGTGGTCCCATGATATATGAGCAATGTTTCGAAGACATCTATGGTCGAATACTAGTAACCTACGAATATCCTCTACTCTTACTGGCTATGTTTCACTGCCATAACGTAGGACGGAACGAACTGCTGAGCAGTAAACACGTTCTTTGGTTGATAGACGGATATCTCGCCTACGCCACAAATGACGCAGGTTGGCTAAAGCTAGTCGAGCCTTCTGTATCCGTGCTGAGATTTCGTCACGCACCAGACCACAAGGGCTGATGAGACTTCCAAGATAAGTGAAGCGGTCGACACGATCAACTACTTCACTCTCTATCACTAGTTCGGGAGTCGATGCAACCCAATCCTGAAGCAACATTATGCATTTCGAGGGAGAGAATCGCATGCCTAACATGCCTTCATTGCTGCTTAGAGTGGTCAGCAGACTCTGCATTTCGTCAGCGTCTTCACTAAATAGAACTATGTCATCGGCATATTCTAAGTCAACAAGTGGATCTCCCGGTAGAATTTCAACTCCTAGAAATTTAGATGAGGAAAGTGTCATCTCTAAAAGGACGTCAACGTCCAGCTGAAGAGGAAACTAGGAAACGACAATGGAAATGAATAGAACATACATTGAGGAAATCATCAAACTGCATTGCGAGACAAGCGCTAACTTTAAATCCTGAAGGGAAGCGGAAAAGAGGAAGGCCAAAGAACACATTACGTCGAGAAATAGAAGCGGATGTGAAAGGGATGAATAAGAACTGGAAAGAGCTGGAAAGGATTGCCTAGGACAGGGTTGGATGGAGAATGCTGGTGAGCGGCGTATGCTCCTTCGCGAGGAGTAACAGGCGTAAGTAAGTAAGTAAGTGTTACGGTACTGAATACCAGAGAAACAAATTTATCACTCACCTGTTGACGTTTAGAGTAACTTAACCGAGTATAACTAGAAATGGGACCACCTTTATCAGGTTTATCGTATTTAAAAGAAGAATAATTTGTTGGACAATCTTGTATCTGACCATTATTAGTTGGTTCATAAACATTACATGGTGTTTCATTTGTAATGATATCACTGCTAATTGTTTGTACTGCTGAAGATTCTACTGCTGAATCATTCCCATTCAGAATCTTTGGTACTATTACCTTCTTTGTATTGTCATTGCTGGGAGAGATAGGCTGTTTAACTTTAAAAAACAAACAAATTATCACATTGTGATATGTATCAAAAATTAGTAGATGAATTAAAAATGTGATATTTAAATCAGTCAAAAATGTATCTTATAAAGCAGCATATACTTAGATCAAGATAATATAACTTAGCAGCTCAGTCATATGTAGTACCAATGTCATTTGTATGTCCCATACCTATATACAAACTAAATTTTCTCGATATTGTATACATATATTGATAAGTATGATGTTCAGATAGAAAGAAATACTTTCCATACATTTAATTTATTCCATAACATTTTAGGAATAAAGAGACGTTTTTGTCACAAAATGAATAACTGATAAGTACTATCTCTACACAGTTAATAATTGTTGTGTAATAAAATGAAACATTTCATAGCCATTAATAGGTAGCAACTATTACAGAATGACATCTTCAGTTTACCTAAGAATAATAAATACATATGAAGTAGTTGATAAACATTAATCGAAAGTAATTTAGTGCATTATATCGATAAGGCAAAAAAGAATATGGACAATACAATTGGAAAATAATCTTGCAAAATCATCAGATTAACAAAAAGAGGCTATGCATAAGAATTCTCGACCGAAAACATTTCTGAGCATAGGAAATAAGATATGAGTATTACTATGTGCAACTATAGGAACGCATCGATTTTATGTCTTATTTCTATCAGACAACTGATTATTGTACAATCAAAACATTTGTGTGCTTTCCAGCTAAGACTTTACAAAATATGCCTTAAAACTGTATTTTATTTATTTATTTGAACACATAAAATTAGTACAAAAAGACACCAAATACATATGCACCACATAATTGAAGTATACACCTTACTCTAAACACCCTTTATTTGTTTGTTTTTTTATGACTGTGAGTAAAACCAGTAAATATAGTTGGGAATGAAATGATAATCGAATTTAACTGCAGTATAACATTAGTTTGCTGACACCGTAAAGTGATGAATTAAAATGGAATGTGTCGTAAGAAAGCTTTTGTGAATCTGTCTTTCCATTATATGTTGACTTATTTTGACATCAAATTCGAGTGAGTTTTACAACTTCATAGTTTTCTACCTATATACAAACATAAAAGATTATTTAATTATCAGCATTAGGGTTGTGGAGATTATTAAGTTTTTGATTGAGATCATGAACCGATTAATATCAGACCACCGTTAATAATTCTTGAACACATTTAGTTATGTACAAGTGTTTGTTGATTTAAACAATTCATCAAAGCATTTTAGTCATTTTTAGTTGTCAAGTGACGAGAAACAAAATCGACATTTAACCATTCTGAAAATCCATTATCATTTCATATTGTTTTACATATGTTTGAAGACTTTCCTCAATCAAACAACATGATACTTATCAAACTAACGGTTGAATTAAAAGAAAAATAAACGATTGAATAGTATGCAGGGCTAGATAACTATTTCATCTCAGTTTGCAACTGTTCGGTAGTATGAATCGATTATCTGATGAACAATAAAATCAATGACTTTTATTTCTTGAAGAAGGGATATAATACTTTCCAGCTAATGAGTTGATTCGAAAATTTCACTTTTAGCCACATTTTTCTTAAATGCACTGTGACTAGTACACAATGTTATTGTTGTCCTGATTTTTATAATTCAAAGTGAACACGTCATATGTATTGTCTAGAACGTCAAGAACTTCACTAGCGAGCTGAAAATCAATTTTTATTAGTATAATTTACTGTTCAACTCCACCTATAGATCTTCCAGTGTTACTATCGATCCCCAGCCCGTGTAAAGGAGAATGGTTGAATATGGTGTTAGCGACCACATCACACAGAACACCAACTCACTAAAAATACGCTAACCAGAAATAATTTACTGTTCATTATTATCACGATCTACGGATCATTGTGGAACAATCAATTGAATGAAATTCATCGCTCTACATCAACTTCATTGACTACGGGAAAGCATTTGACAGCGTGGACAGAACAACATTATGGGAGCTTCTGCGACACTACGGCGTACCTGAGAACATAGTCAATATCATACGGAATTCCTATGATGGATTAAACTGCAAAATCGTGCATGGAGGACAGTTGACAAAGTCGTTCGAAGTAAAGACCTGTGTTAGGAAAGGATGCTTACTCTCACCCTTTCTCTTTCTCCTGGTGATCGACTGGATCATGAAGACGTCAACATCTGAAGGGAAGCACGGGATACAGTGGACATCTAGGATGCAGCTGGACGATCTAGACTTCGCAGATGATCTGGCTCTTCTATCGTACACACAACAACAAATGCAGGAGAAGACGACCAGTGTAGCAGCAGCCTCAGCAGCAATAGGTCTCAATATATACAAAGGGAAAAGTAAGATTCTCCGATACAACACAGCATGCACTAATCCAATCACAATTGACGGAGAAGATTTGGAAAATGTAAAAACCTTTACATATTTGGGCTGCATCATCGATGAACACGGTGGATCTGATGCAGATGTGAAGGCGCGGATCGGAAAAGCAAGATCAGCATATTTACAACTGAAGAACATCTGGAACTCAAAACAATTGGCAACCAACACCAAAATCAGAATTTTCAAAACAAATGTGAAGACAGTTCTACTGTATGGGGCGGAAACCTGGAAAACCACGAAAGCCATTATCCAGAAGATACGTTTTATTAACAGTTGTCTACGCAAAATACTTCGGATCCGTTGGCCAGACACTATGAACAACAACCTACTGTGGAAGTGAATAGAACACACATTGAGGAAAGCACCGAACTGCATCAAAAGACAAGCCTTGACATGGAATCTTCAAGACCAAAGGGAAAGAGGAAGACCAAAGAACACATTACGTCGGGAAATGGAGATAGACATGAGAAAAATGAACAAGAATAGGATGGAACTACAAAAGAAGGCCCAGGCCAGGGTGGGTTGTAGAATGCTGGTCGGCGGCCTATGCTCCATTTGGAGTAACAGGCGTAAGTAAGTAAGTATTATCACAATGGTTCAGTGATCATCAATTAATTCTATTATTATGAATGATATGAATTTATTCATTTATTAAGGTATTTAACAAATCAATTTGTATAAATTAATAAATATTTTTGTTTAAAATTGATTTTAACTATAAATAATTAAAAATGTAAATTTATCTTTTTCACAACCATTTGACAAATCCAAATAATTATGACAGTGTAATAAGACTATAGGAAATTTATTTCATAACTAATGAGATATGATTGATTGATTTATTTCTATAATATTACTACTCAAAATAGTAATTGACATAAGAAAAAGAAAAAAATTAAATAAAGTAAATAATAATGGAAACTTATAATGAATTTGATGTTTTAAAATAAAACATTAAATATGATAATAATGAACTCACCTTGGGAGTTATTGATAGTTTGTATCAATTGTTGAGAAATATTTGATTTTAAATAGAAAACTTCATTTTCATTCTTATCAAGAATAACATTCTTTAAGATAAAAACATAAAAAAAGAAAAATAATTTTAAGATCAGAAGGGGGTTTTTGGAGATTTTGGAAATTTCACTGGTTGAAATCACAAGTCAATTGAAGCTAGACCACCATGGAAAACCTGAAAGCACTGGACGGTCTAGCTTTAATTGACTGATGATTTCAACCAGTGAAATAATTTTAGGTTTAGACAATATAACTATGATAGATTTTCATTCTATATTATCATATCTTAATTGTATCTTGTTTAGTAAATGTTTGTTTCAATAAAATTTATAGTTAAACTAAGAATATAATAAAATGCATATAATCTGTATCATAATATTATAATATAACTTATAAATGTAATGCCTAAATTTGTTATAGATCCTATGTCTTTCGTTAGATTTCCATGTGCGAAATTGTGGATGTTCACTATTGAGTAGTCCTATATTTGGACAAAGTGGTGATCTAATACATATAAGTATTCAATAGTGATATAACTTAGATTGATTTATGATTTTCAGTAAATTTTACAATCTTAATAACCTGTTACTCTCAGTTTACATGGATTGTTGATTTATAGATTGTTATTAAGGCCTTCGAGTGTATTATATTCTAAACATTTACAATCCTTTATCTTGAGGTCTTTTGCCTCATGAGCAAATGGTTAGTTAGAATCCATAAGTCTGTTGGATAATTATTCAAAGATTTCGGATTATCTGTGTCACTGTATTTTGCACAAATATCGTACTTTATTGGGATATGGTAAATTTATTTGAATAATCAGATTCTGACATTTGTTACGGTGGGTATGGGGCATAATATCCTCGGAACGTCTTCCATTAAAATAATACATGGAAGTAATCTAACAATGTTTTTTCTATAATAAATTATGCACAAATCACTTTGAAGCAATGTCAAACATATGCTTTAAATCAAAGTTGGACATTAACATATTCTTTTGACATCGTCTATTAGTTGTGAAATATTTTCTTTTATTATTAGCTGACCGATCTAACCAAATACAGATTGAACTTCATGTCCCGTATGAGACCTATAATGGCCTATTACTGAACTGGAATTAAAAAAGGGGTAGAAGATATATTTCCTGTCATTCGGAACGGTAAGTGTGTGTACTATACGTATCAATAAGTTACACTCAATGGTTTAAAATACTACCCTTGAAATATTTAGGCCAGAGCCGATATAAAAAGAGGCAGAGATATAAAAAAACAGTTCTATCAAAAAGTCTTTATAAATATGTACAGAGTCGTACTGGTATGTTGTTCACTATTCAAGCAGAAGTCGATTCTAAATAATGCTAATAATAAGATTCTTTGGACAGATAGACTTTCAGAATTCTCTCTATTTGGTTGAGTCGCGATTCCGAAGTAGGGTTTTCCCACTTATCACTGCAGTAAAGTACAATAAAATAATTTGACAAAAATATTGTGCGACATAGACAAATAAACACTGATTCTCCCATTGTTCTATATGTATAAGTTATAACAATTGACAATTTCTTAAATATATTATGGAAGTTTTACTGTTATCATATTATATGTACTTGACAATTTCAAGATACGGTTGAACTACATTAGTTACGGTTTCACATTAGAGCTCCAGGAAATTCATCTTGAAACTAGTCACTAGTGAGCATATGATAATCATCAGTATAGGGTTGTGGAAATTGTTCAGTTTAGATTGATATTTAAAGATGAATCAAAAGTACTTCTAAAATTAATCACTGGAAAATTTTACTTGTTAACAATGTGATGCATTGATTTATCACGAGAGAATACTAAATGTAATACAGTTATAAGTAGTGTTTAAAAAACAAGGAAAATAAATTGTATATGCAATTTTTTAAGGTACATTCAAATAATTGTTTCTCATATGACGAATCAAAAAAGTACAGTATCTGGTTTTTTAACTAAAAGAAACCCCGTAATAGATTGGTAACGTTACGGTCAGTGGTATGATCATCATTTTGATGGTTAGCTGTGATGGGTTTAATTTGACATTATTTACTAAGTGTCAATCATTGTGAACCATTATTTACCTAAAATAGCCTACTGAGATTGATTTAAAATAATTATCTTAGCTTGTTTTAATGAAATGGTTTACATTTTACAAACTCTTGCTAAAAACATGCCTGCATAGCAAACCGTTGAAATTCTACATGGAATACAATTCCAATATAACTCAATCGACGTCACATTGATTTTTGATTTGAAGTTATAATTAATGTTTTAAACATGTTATATACGGCGGCAATAATGATTTTATTCATTTACGATACTACGTGTAATCGATTTACATTTTAATCACTACAACAAAATTTAAACGTACATTCACTGGGTGAAGTCACATACATTTTGAACTGGTCAACAGTAGCAGATGTAGACTTAGTGGGTAACAATAGCGATATGTTGTTGGTAATCATAATAACATGAGTGAAAGTTAGTCACAGAGACTAGTATATACATATAATTCTCACAATGATATAAACTGAAGCAGCAAATTAATTAAGAAAGATGATACATTCCTAGAAATGAATTTATGGCTTTCGACGGCTACGTAACATATTCATACCTAGTTCTAATAGCTATAGCTTAAACAACCGAATATTTTTATCGGTTCATATATAAATTATGTTGCTGGGTAAGTACGAACTAGAGCTATAAATTAGCCATAGTGTGGCCTTTCATGTAGTTATTAAAATAACTATTCACTAAACAAAAGGATTGTATGCTGGTTTTTGGTGTAAAATCCTATTCAAACATTTTAAAAAGATTTCTGTTACATAATGGTCTAGATTGATTCTTATTGGCTACAATAAATGGGAAAATTTATTGCGTCACCCGATTGTAATTAGAATGACTTTGGAAAGGTTGTTGCACAACCATACACATACTTGTAAGACGTATAGGATGACTAATATACGTGACACATTATGTAATCTTCCATACTAGTCTGCAATTGTATTAACCATTTATTACCATAGTTTACTCGACGAAACATATACAGATTGTGACAACGTTACCATATGAAGATACAACAAAAGTCTTCGAGGAGTATTCATTTCTCAAAGAAAATTATAATGTTCTATAAATGATAACTATAGAATTACCTTCATTTTGTATTCAAAAAATTAAAAAATTATATTCTCAATATAATGTGGGTCAATGATTTTCTCTGTCTAAATCTACGTTAGATTATATTACAATAGTTGGTCGAAAGATTTTTGATGATTACTGTATCACTATGAAATGATCCAAACTTGAGTATTGTCCTATCGAATCTAATCAACACAAATGTGCGTTATCAAATCACATTGACAAAACGATATGAGAGTAATAGGATCCATAACAAAAGAAACTGAATGTATATAGCCACAATAATAATGAGAAAAAATAAACATTTCGAATATATTTAGAAAAGTGAAAAGATATACATGAAAGCATATTAGAATTCAAGAATGAGATGCTAGCTGTTAGTTCGGTCGCCCTTATTATTATCAGGAGGTGAAAGTACGTTGTAGAAAAACATATTCATCAAGAATTACTGTACAATAATAGGATAATGTGAAAAAAAGATGATATAGATGAGAAACATGAAGTATATCTACAGAAAATATTCTGAATTCATTTTTATCGTTGTTTAAAACCATAAAAAATGTATTAGTAAAAGTTATCATTGTTGTACTCTTGATGTTGCATAAGTTATGGTTAGTTATATAATATACCCTTGTAGGCCAGGGTAATATTACATTGGTTTTCAGGAGAACCAGACACCATCCAGACTTTCCCGTGACAACCCAAACAGTACAGCTTAATCTCGCTTCACAGGAGAACCAGATACCGCATAGGCTTTAACGCTACAATCTGAATAGTACAGCTCAATCCTGTAGCGCAACCACACAGGTACCAAGCACCCTGGTGAAACATTCGCACCATTCACATACAAATTCACGTCACATGTATAGTTATTCCGATCAATGATCAATTACGCACAACACGAACAGGCCAAAGTTGAAATATTCCGCTTACACGACAGTCAAACTCAATAATGTTAGCAATGGCGACATGTCTTACAATGTCTCAATGACAATGGCCCTCGAGAACACTGAAAAGCAACCACCAGTATGAATGAAATCGTGCATGAACAGTCAGCAAAACTTGCCAAAGCAATGTTGAACCATCCACAATACGAATGGCGAACCTCCAGTCTCATATGCAACCTTTAGTTCTACATAGCAATATGGCTTATACTGCATACAACACATATGTAGGGTAGTAAGCAAAATAGGCCAGGCTGAAGCGTTAGGGCTTAAGTAACACTTAAAACCCAATGTCTGGTGTCGGAATACTATAACTAGAGCAGTAAGATCATTTTTATCGCATTCGCAAAATTTTCATTTTTCCGACTTTTCAGACACTGAGTTGGGGGTAGCATCCCACTGATGTTACATTATTTATTTAAACACATAAATATTGGTACAAGGAGGCACAAAATACATCTATGCCACACAAGTCACTTGATTTATGTATGGGCTGTAATATTGCCTGGGTGCCCAAACCGAAGCAAGTAGTTTTTTTAAGGGGTCACACACGGAGACTTCGACCTAAAAGTCTGATCCACAAGGCAGTGGAGCAACATCAGGAGATACAGTCCCGTAGTACCCAGTGACCAACAATCGGTTCATACGCCATTTATTCCTTCAGTATATTGGATCCCATGTGCACCATTGGTTTGGAATCAGGGTTTTCCAACTCCCCTAAGTTGCCTCTCCGTGTCCACAAAGCCGGTTAAAGCGCTGGACATTCACTTTTCGTCCTCTGAATTTCGTAAACAGCATCCCGTTACATGAAGGCAGTGAGTAGGACTTCCCTGGCAGTGGTCGTATGGTCGTGGCCATATGAGAGCGTTCCGAGAGGAATAGCTGACTTTCCCCACTCTCGGCCGTGCCAGAGCATTATAGTCAACCTTCAATAATAGTTTAAACAAACTACTTAAAAAATACCAAAGTCAATACAAGATATTGTAGTAGGTGTAAACAATACAACTATGTATAAAGGTTTTAACTGATATGTATTTAAAACAATATCTGGAATAATTGTAAAATGAATTGGAAACTGAATAATGGATTAGACAGTAGCTGAAACAATATCTATTATTATAAAGTGATATAAATTAATATTTTTGTAGAATATATTTTCATCAAAACACCTAATTTGAAATTAGAATAATTCTTTTTAAAAATCATCCTCAATAATTTAGTGTATTAATTGTTCATTTTCATTGTATCTAATCATAGATACACTTTTCAGTATTGGGATTAATTAAACGCTAGATAATACGCCTATATTCAAGTCATATCATCAATCCTCAAAAGATGATATACTTTTGCTCAGATTAATTATATTTCTATTATGCACATTATATTTAGCAAAAAAATTAAATAAAATAAAAATATTCAGGAATTCATTCTACGATTTATATAAGGCTAAACAAAGTTCCACCCATTATGATTTCAACAAACGAATACTATCAGTTGTATACACAATTAATTAAATCTATACAAATCAGTACATTTGTTATATTGGTTATGTTTATACACATCATATTATAACTGAAACAGTTCAATTGTATTTTTTTACAATGTACTTGGAAATATTTAGCATACAACGTCGCTAAAAACATTACTAAATTTCCTTAACTTAAACAAATGAATACAATCATTGAAAATTATCCAAAGATTTCATCAATATTCTTCTATACACCATAAACAACTACATCACATATTTTGATAGATAATATCTAATTAACATTTAAAGTGCATGACTCAATATAGTTGGTCAATTCTTATCCCCTTTTCCATAATCAAGAAATGTTTAATTTTAATAAAAATAAATTACATTTTTTTACTGTTTCTTTTTTGCTTAATACCAACTTGTAATCGAAGTATTTCCTTCATTTCTGTGGTTATTAATCTTATTTTATAAAGAGGAATAAGTTGGTACTTTATAATAAATTAAAATAAATTGAAAACGATAAATCAATTTATTCAATGTTTAATTTCAAAAACAAACTGAATAATGCTGTTTTCTTGCCCATTCACTAACATTCGACAAGTAGGTTATAAGTAACCTAGTTACTAGATGATAAGTTTTTCTTCATCAATTTATTTTTATTTTGGTAATAGGAAATAATAATACTGATAATATAGCTGTTGTGTGAAGATATTTTTTGACTGTGAATATATATAGGGTTATAATTCAAACCGTTTTGGTCAAAAGTTCAATGTATTGTATTAGATATATTTACAAAAAATGGGCGGATTTTGAAAACAATTCTTAAGGTATGGACAAATTCTAACCCATTTGTCTGTTAGCGATGATGTATATACATATTTAAGTATTTATCTATTTGTTTGTCTGTTTGTAAACATAATGTAAATACATACATTAAAAAAAAGTTATTCAAATCAACTTCACTGCTTAATCATATATAGAATAGAATATAAATGAGCTATTGGTACAATCAACGCTAATTTCCTAATGCCCTCTAGAGTGAATTGTCTACTTGGTACAATTCTCAATCGATTAACAAGCAATAGTAGTATGCAATGAAGAAGTATACACAATGATTGAATTGTTATCCTAAAAAAAACGAAACTCCTAATTTAACAAATCATCGAGATTCAGTCCAATTAATTAAAACTAACTATAGATTGAGTCTGCTGGATAAAGTTATTTAATGGGTGGGGCAACAAAGTAGTAGTGTTGATTGTGAGAATATGGTATAAACGGAAAGAGAGAGTTTGAGATGGTAAAAGATAAACTGTTTGATAAAATTAAAGCAAATCTTGTGATGAAATGTATTTCAGTAATTAATGTTCATTTATAAATATAAATGGATTATAAGTAATACAGCTGTTACAAGACTTACATAATCCCTGCCATTAGGTTCTAAATTATACCATATAGTGTCAGAAACATTACCATTAGGTTATTTCAGCCTCAACAGACCTGTCAAAGTGATCAATTCACACAGATTACTAGCCTATGTCATTTTTCTAATCCGTACTTCCAAGTGAATGCTAAAGGTTAATTCAAAACGTTACCACGGATCTAAATGACTGCATTAATACTGAACCTATTTTTCATCTTATGTGGTTGAAGATAATCAGATTCCTGCTGATATCAAGCCATTTGTGCTAGTAATATGTTAGATAGTATTCGATCAACATTATCTAACAAAATGCATAGCATCGGTTACATAACTATATTTAGCTTAGAAAAGCTGAACAGATTTTGCAACAGTTTTCTCAAACATTTATGTTAATTGTTTCTAATCAGGTGATGACTTTGTAAAAATATGCATAAAAATTTAAATTTATATCAGTATAATATAACATACCTCATAAGCAGAAGAATACATATTCATTGTTAGTGATTCATTATCATCAGTTGATAAAGAACTAAATGACGATCCAGATTTCAATGTTTCATTTACACAAGAATGTGTTGATTCATTATGACTAAAATTCTCAGTACAATTAAAGTCATTTGAGTGTAGTTGAGCATTTGGTTCGTCAAATCGTTCATTCTTGTTATTTGTTGTTGAATAGGTAAAGTTTTGAATTGTCAGCGAAGCACTTTGAGTAGGATATTTTATTCAGTTTTAATTTTTTTTTCAAAAATACAACAAAGTGAATACAATAAAATGGTTATGTGATTGGAATAAATGTTTAATTTTAATGAGATCGGTTAAAATAATTGATAGAGTAGAGTTTTAAGGTTTCACATTATTAGCTAAAACATTTAATTGATTATTAAGTATGGAGGGTGAAGATATAATCACTCGACTATGGATGTTATCAACATGTTAAATGCCCCGGTACGGCCAACAGTGGGGAAAGTCAGCTCTCCCTCACGAAATGCTCTCACATGGCCACGACCATACGACCACTGCCAGGGAAGTCCTACTCACTGCCTTCATGTAACGGGATGCTGTTTACGAAATTCAGAGGACGAAAAGTGAATGTCCAGCGCTTTAACCGGCTTTGTGGACACGGAGAGGCAACTTAGGGGAGTTGGAAAACCCTGATTCCAAACCAATGGTGCACATGGGATCCAATATACTGAAGGAATAAATGGCGTATGAACCGATTGTTGGTCACTGGGTACTACGGGACTGTATCTCCTGATGTTGCTCCACTGCCTTGTGGATCAGACTTTTAGGTCGAAGTCTCCGTGTGTGACCCCTTAAAAAAACTACTTGCTTCGGTTTGGGCACCCAGGCAATATTACAGCCCATACATAAATCAAGTGACTTGTGTGGCATAGATGTATTTTGTGCCTCCTTGTACCAATATTTATGTGTTCAAATAAATAATAATAAGTAAATATCATCTTAAATATTTGAGAGCAGCGAACAAATGATGGTTCAAGTATAATTTACTTGATGTCTTTAGGAATGAAATCACGAATGAGATAAGGAAACTTTGAGTGGCTAACTCGAACTAAAAAATAATAAACTGATCTGAAAGATTTACGATGAAGTATCACAGACAAATAGAAATATCATACAAATGAACAAATAATTAACCTTCATTAATACTAATTTGCTGATCAACTATTGATTTTAAACGATTTTAACGACTTTCCAAAACCTAAAACTAATAACTTTTAGCAGAGTGAACAATAATATCATCAAAGATCATAGATATTTGAAACTTTGAGGAAATCTCTCTTGTCTAGTTCATAAAGTGAATGATTTAAAATAGGAGACTAAATGAATTTCAAAATATTAAACTGACGGTGTATTCATATACGTTGATTTGAGTATTCCAAATATCCTAAGACAAAGAATTCAGTCAATACATTCACTCAATCTTTTATTCATCTTCATTTGAATAGTTCCGTATATATATATATATATATATATATATATATATATATATATATATATATATATATATATATATATATATATATATATATATATATATATATATATATATATATATATATATATATACGGAACTATTCAAATGAAGATGAATAAAAGATTGAGTGAATGTATATATATATATATATATATATATATATATAACTATTAAACCCAAGTACGAAAATGTCCTTCACCTCTTAGCCCCATCTACTCCAAAAGATTAATATTCTTGGGAATATTTGTATAATAGGAACTAAAGTCAATTTAATCAAGTAACATACTTTATCATAACACATTCTGTTGTGACTTTACGCATTGCTGATTACCATATGACTCACTCGTGAATCGGAATACGACTTGCACAGTCTTAACACTATGTCAAACTAATGACGTATCGACCGATATAAACAGCCTAGCGTCTTTATTGGCCCTTTCCCTCCTAGCTCTACTTATTTAGACATAAGTAGTATATATGTTAGTCATGAACAGAATATCTGGCAGCAGATAGACAAGAAGATCGAACAGTAAAGAATGAAGACAGAATGCAATTTGTATGAAAATGCAAGAAGAATGAAGTCTGAGTCAATTTGAGATAACTGATGGACATTTTGCAAATTAAGTATTTACTATGTAGTTGTTAGATTTTATTAACAAGTTCTGTAATTTATTGTCAATTACATTCGATTGTGCCCATTGGTGTTATTATTCACTACAATACTAGTTCCCACTATCCGAATCATTTATTCCAAACATACCTGGTTTATATATAAACCAAACAGACAACATCATTCCATAAATTAGGAAATAACATTTGTACACGATCAAGCCAAAAGGTGATCGCGATTGTGGGAGACTGTAATTAATAAACTGAGCATAATTTAAAGAACCGTAAGTTACTCAATGGTTATACAATAAGAATACATGTATAGTACTAGTCAGTAAATAGATCCCAGCAGTTACCATTCCTTATTCTCGTCGGGATATAACAGATTCAACTTCAATACATGACACATTGATCTTAATTATTTACCTCGCTAAAACTTAACTAATAACACCAATCATTTCAGTATAATCCATATTGAAATAGAGAATAATGTTTACACAACCAAAGATTGAATTTTTCATTCTCCATTTTTAGCTCTATATACTAACGAAATAAATTATTCACTTATTATTTAGGTAATATCAAATAGTATCCGAATAAAAATTGAATACATATTAAAGTGAATATTGGACTAACTAGAAATCAATATTCGAAATGAAATGTTCTTGACAATAATAAATTATTCTTTCTTCAATAATGAAGATTAATAATGTATTTGTACTTCTTAGAATATAGAAAGAGTTCATTGGATTTAAATAGAAGTAATACAAAAAGATATGCATTTGGACATAAACACTTACACTGACATGTGTTTACATACACTACATATATATATATATATATATATATATATATATATATATATATATATATATATATATAATAAAGCTTATCTGTATTTGCATATACGTACATACATAAATTGAAACAGTGTAGTTATAATTGATAGAGCACATAGTGACAAAAATACAAACATCTGTAATTTTATAATAATTTACATAAACCAGATCGATAAAAGAATATACATTAACACTGACAAAATTTGTCTTCTTAATTTTGCATTTAAATAAATAGTAATTTTATTATTCGCTATACTCCATTTAATGTTCATTTTATTACAAAAGTAGATTCTTATGTATTTTTATTGTTTTAATGACAAAGAATAGGGCTAAGAATGTTCATATACGTGGCGATAGGATATATCAACTGAAAAATCATTATAAACTATAAAATATTGAACCTATAAATACAAAGCAGGTGACTTAATTTTATAGAATTCATCACAAGACTTTAACATCCTGGCTGATAGTTGGTATGAACAAACGAGAATTCATAGACTATAACAAAACAATAGTTTACTTTCTTTTCTTTCTCTCACCCTCTCTCTTTTCCGATTTATATTGCTTGATATGAAAGTGTAGGGATTCAATTTAACGTATTTATCAAAATAATAAACGAAGACAAGATTAGGAGAAATTGAAAGATAGTAAAATAAAACGAAAAGAAACTCACTTGAGAAAGAATCATGAATATAAAGAAAAATGATGTTCAATATCTAGGAAACAAACAGTAAATGCATCTATCCTGGAGCATGAGAAAGGGCGTCTACGATTTATTAGCGTTTTTGTTTCGAAAAAGGTGATATCACGTAGACCAAAAACCACTACTTAACAAATTGTATAAGGCTTTGAAAAAATAGTGAAAAAATGATCTATTTAAATATATATATAGAGGGTAAACTTACTTGGTGATTTCAGACTTCGATATGTATCTTTGGTCAGAATCCGTATTTACCTCGGTTTTCTCAAAACATGGACCAGAAGAGTCTGAATTCACGTACTGAATTTCAGAAAGTTTCATAGTATTTTGTTGATTTGAAGTACTTATTGCATGAGCAGAAGACGATTTAGTTAACGAATCATGAAATTTTTCGCAACTTGTATTACTAGAATTGCATAAAGCTTGTTGATTTAAATATGCAAATATGTATGGGATCCCGCGAGCAACGAACTATTATTTTTTAAAATAAAGAAAGGTACATGTCTCTTGAGAAACAAATGAAATCTATAAAATGTTACACAATCAGGGAATAATTGTAATTAAATGCAATAAATGTGATTTCTCATACGTCATGGTAAATGACATTAAGCTCTAACTATCAAGTTGCAAACACTTACTGGTTAGTTGATGAGCAAATATATTTTCAAGCATATAATCTATCTTGTTTAAAGTTTTCACGAATAAGCAAAGATTAATGTTAATACTACCAACTGGTGAAAATAAATAAATACCAGATAGTCACATAACTTAAATTTATTTATGGTATTACGATCGAAGTAACTTAAAATGTGTAATTGATATATAAAACGAGATACTGATCGTATCAAGATTTGATTTATACTTTCTTATGAATCCTTGTGACATACTGCTGGACTGATCAAACTCTAAGTTAGGTGAATTAGGGTTTAAGCCAAGGAATTACAACATGATTGAAAACCGATTGCTAAGACTACTAAATCATCACTTCAATTTTAGTAGTACAGAAATTTCTAATGAATGCTGTAGACTGTTTCCACATAAAAAATTTATAATATTCCATAAGAAAAGATTTTGATTTTTCTACTAAATATCACTAGCATCTTAGTAACATCCTTTAACCAAGATTTCATTTTATCGTTGAACAACGGAAGTTATATTCACTTCCTTTCATTACTACAAAAATTTATGCACTAATGAGTATGAATTAACGTGTAGAAACTTAGATTAGAAAACAATCCTCTATAAAGTAACTTCTATTATTGCATCAAACTTCCCGTTCAAAATTCGAATAAACTTTAATTTTCGTGTATATTGATTAGAAATAGTTTACTTTGAGTCGGTAACCTGGCTTTCCTGATAAATATGTTTAACAGTAAAGTAAACAGGATCTCAATCAAATAATAATCATGGTAGAGCTTCAAATCAACCAAATTCAAGTATCTACACGAAAGTATTTAAACAGGAACGTAATTTAAGGAAGGTAAATATGTAGAAGTTTAAAACATTTATACAATACTATTAAAACATATGGCATTGAATGATATCAATTGTACAGTGTGGCAAATCGACTAAATTTGAAAAATCTAGACTATTTGACTCTGACTTAATGGTTCATTGGTTGGGTAAGTTCATTGTGAAACTTGACTGTTATTTGTTCAAGTAAACGTAAATTAATGGAGAAAGCAATCAGATATTAAAATAAAAACATACACCGGTGGATTTTGAGTGGTAATTGCTCTCATCTGCTGATGCCAATCTGTTATGTTTAAAAAAAGCTTATAATCGGATTTTCAGAAGTGTTTGGAAGTTTTATTAGTTAGCTGACTGTTAATAAGAAATACGTAAAAATGAAAAGAAGAAGATATTGACTAAATAAGAGAAGTATTTTGGGATGGAATCTATAGTGGAATTTTTAATTGCATTATAAACGTGAACAAAGCATATATGCATAAACGTGAGTTCACAAAATGAAATCCAATCGCTTCCACAACATGCAATAGACTTGTTACATAGAGTTGACTAAAAAATGAATATTTTGTAAACAAAGAAACACTTTAATGCTCTATCCACATGAAACTATCATATTTTATCTTCAATTTCAATAAATGTGATTTAAAAATAAATTTAAATTCATAAAACGCAGTTAACTATTTATTAAATCTAAGAGTGATGTAATTTTCTTACATCATACCAAGACCACTTCTGTTATCTCAGGCTGTATTAAATTATTAAAATTGAATCAAATCAGGTTATAAAGTTAATAATTGATGAATATGTTCACAAAAAAGCTCTCAAAAAACCTATGCGTTTGAGCATGCTCACTAATAGGACTCACAGTTAAAAGGGGAGGAGATAGGGGATTTTCCTCTAGAGACAACCTCTCTAAACACCACATAAATCTAATGCTCGAAGGCAGTTGTTTTACTCCGTTTGAATGCAAGTCTAAAATCTTCAAACAACGAAGGCCAACTATGCCTAAAAATTGAAGTACAAAATGACCAAATTATAATTTATGAATGTATATGAATAAAAAATATAAAAATAAAAGGTTTATACGGAATTCTCCTTTTTAATATATCAGTTCTGAATTTTCAAAAGCATTTACATTTTTTTAATATGATATTTGATTTTATACACAAAACATTTAGGTGAATGACACCAACGGATACACAACCGTAGATCTCTTATGAATTATTATCAAAGAGATTTAGTTTCAACAGAATTTTGCAGATGTGAATAACGTGATAAACTCTATTGAGTGGGATAACAGAATTTCTTCGCTACAAATACTTAGCAATACTCTGCTAAAAAATGAAATTAAACTTCTCAACAAATAGTCCTGAACTTAAACATTATTCGGATACACATCGATAGCACGGCTAATGACACATCAACCACCATTTTACACAAAGAACGTCATTATTATCTATAATGGGACAGAAAGAAAACCTAAAAATCAATAAATGTCAATCAATTAGTCAAAAACCAGATGACTGTCAACCAATGTAAATATATGCACTACAATGAATTTCGTCTATAAACTAAAACGCTGGTATTTATTGACAAGTTCATGATGTTTACTATGTAGAATCCGATATACAAAGATTGTTCTTAGTTGCTCTCGTGTAGTAATAAATGAAGATTATAATATTTTAGCCATCTACCGAAGGTACAAGTGACAGGGATATAAATGATAACTTTACGTGGTACAACATCACTTCTTACAAAGGAAAGCAATAACGGGTAAATTGAGAAAAATACTATTTCAACAAATGATGCACTCGTTAATGACAAAATAATAGTAAAGTTAATGAAAACAAATTATGTTTAAGAGTTCACGACCTTTAAGTTTTGGTATAGCAATGTTTTAGTAGCAGATTTATATCCGACATCACTTTGCCTTCTTTTAGTCAATAAAATGTCTATGGAGTAAAACGAGGATAATTCAGAAACATCGAACTATTTATTTGACGTCTTGTGATTGGCTAAAGACTAGTGAAATTCTATCTCCTCAGTGTTTAAAATTAATAATTGATGAATTATGCTGCTTTGATATCCAATTTTCAACAAATGAAAATAACAATATTTGTAATCATTAATTTTTATGAAATGTTTCAATCAAAGAAAACAATACCTCTACACTTAAATCGGTTTAAAGCTTACGCTCTTGGTAGTATCACTATGCGGAACTACTGAATTTGTTATAAGTGCAAAGGTATTCTGAAAAAAGAAGGTAGCTTGAAAATGATATGATACAACATAGAATACCTTAGGCGTTCAGTTTTAAAATACTATTAAACTGTCGTATCGAACAAAAGATAAAATGGTAGGACTCTAATTTATGGACGAGCCAATCAGAGGCGTCTGAGGAAGTTCAAGGTCACGGCGCTAAGTTCGATTCGAGATGCTCACATTCGATCGTTTTACAACAGATTTCAGAGAAAAGGTGATTGTTGAGCGACTACAACAGATGGGACTATTAAGAAGTTCCTGTGTCTGTGACTGCGGCAATCAAATGACTTCAGCACGATGTGCAGACTACCGTGATGACATTGTATTTCGTTGTACTATATGTTGGAGAAAAAAATCTGCTCGAACTGGCACTTTCTTTGCGCGATCACGACTCAGGCTTAGACAAATCATGATAATTGTGGCAAATTGGATCATAAAGTCTCCAGTAACATTAACTGCGGCTTTTGCAGATGTCACGGAAACTTCAGCCATTCAGTGGTATGAATGGGTAAGTAGCACTTCCGTGAATATACTTGACAGGTACTTGGATTTTATGATCGTTCAACTCAAAAGGGACATTTCCAAAGAGTAAGAAACTGTAAGGTTACGATAAAATGATCACTATAAAAATGAGTTAAAAGCTAGTTTTCGGAGTTACGAAATATACTGATGACATCCCATCACAAAAATGCGTTGCTAATGTATCAACTATGAACCATCAAAAATTTTGTTGATATAATTAGATTTCGTAAATCATCATGAAGGCAATAATTAAAAACACAGAAACTCTACATCAGCGTTGCAAAATATTTAAGTGGCCTATATTCTAAATAAAAGCTTAAAAACTGATAAATGTAAAACAAATGCAATATGCGCCAAAAAGATTATGCGGCTCCGAATTACCAACAGTATAGTGCTGATAATTCGAAGTATATACTTCGAACGAACATACCTTCTGGAAGTGTTTCAATCAGGTTGCATCCTAATAGTAAAACTTTTAGACTGTGAAGTGAACAAATCGAAGAAGGAAAGCATTTAAACCTATTGAATGACAAATCCTGAAATGTAATTCAACATTTATGGGGGAAATTACTAGCTCTTGCAAGTTATGAAGATCACAAACACTTGCAGGAAGAGACGACAAATAGTTGTTGGACATTACCAAAATCCGAAGGCTCGGCAGTTTGCATAGTGAATCCGGGACAGAAAAAATTTTGTTGAAGCTGAATTACAATACTGAAGTAAAGAATTTAAAATACCTTAAATCCAGGGTAGTAAGCAATCTGTATTGTTCAATTCCGCTCGGAATATTTGTGATAAAGTTTCGAGATAAATCTAAATGCTCTATAAATTTCAAAGTTTCCGAAACATTGTTAAAATCCCTCAACCTGCAATTGGAAAAACCTTTAGACAATTTTAAAATAAGTTATTTCGTCATACTTCCTTGACTATTCGAGAAGTAGTCGCAAAATATAGAATCTTCGTTGCTTGTACCATTTTTCAAGGCATTGTCTGACTTATTAGGCACTACAAAGCTATCAAGCATCAATATTTATTCATTTCCCTGAGGTGAAAATTCAAAAACGCAACAGCGTCATGACCTTCAGTGACGGTGCAGTAAAACGGACAAATACCAATACAAAAGTAGCGTGAGTAATCATTTTAAGTTCACATTTACAAAGTAAATGTATTTGAGGAAACAGGGCATAACGAAATAAAAATTTATCATAGACCACAGAGATGACGGGAGCATAGTGTATCTTATCATAACACATTAGTCAAATAAGTTCGTAAAGATGTGTTAGAGTATGAAAACCATGCCTCATGAATGTCTCAACAGAACCATCTAACTGTCGTCGACACATACAGAAATTGATTTTTTTCGCCCGTATGTGGATAGTTCTTGGCCATTCATTGACATCATTCCAGAAACGTGAGATGATAAAATTTAAGCAGATAGATTCGAAATACTTCTTTATGTAACCAAGAATTTAGAGTTGAAAACGTTTTATGAAGCTATCGTCTTTCTTTTAACGAATAAAAATGGAATCTGTAACATTAGTCGCCATTAAAATACTTGAAATTCTGTTCAGTTTCGATAATATTTAATTTGCTCCTAATATTTCAAACTCGTATCGGCATACAGGAAATCTTACCTTAGCTTTTCTTGGCAGTGATTTTCATCAGCTGACTGATAGGAAGAACTTATCAAGGTCGTTTTAAAATTATTTGTTACAGTCAGAACACTTGATCTGGATAAGATTCATTCCAACGTATGTGTAAACGTTTTGGTACCAGGATTCTCAAATAATAGACATTCTTCCGAAGGACAAAATAGTACTCTGAGTAACGTTATCTGAAGACACAAGACAAAATGAACATTTCTGTGTGCTTTTATGACATGACGCTTATTCGAAACTTACGAACACTAGTTCAAATTAACTGACATAACGGTTCGCCCCCAAATGCCCTGGTATGGCCGAGAGTGGGGAGAATCAGCTCTCTCACTCGAAATGCTCTCACATGGCCACGCGTATATAGCCTCTGCCAGGGAAGTCCTACTCACTGCCTTCACATGGCAGGGGTGTTGTTTACGAAAATGAGAGGACGAAAAGAGAATGTCCGGCGCTTTAACCGGATCCCAAACCAATGGTGCACATGGGCCCCAGTATCCTGAGGGAACAAATGGCGTATGAACCAATCGTTGGTCACCGGCTACCATGGGACTGCATCTCCTCACGATGCTCCACTGCTTTGTGGATCAGACGTCCAGGTCGAGGTCTCGGGGTGTGGCCCCCTAAGAAGACCACCTGCTTCGGTTTGGGCACCCGAGCAGTATCACAGCCCTCACACAAATCAATTGCGATTCGTGTGGCGCATATGTATTTGGTGCCTCCTTGTACCAATATCTCTGTGTTAAAATAAATAATAAATAAATAATACATAACGGTTCATGCAGCAGATCTTATGAAGCATAATAAATACCCCGGAAAGCTGCTTACACAATGAGTTTAGATGAGCTATCCTGATAGGATGTTTTCTGAGCGACAAATAAACAAGAAAAACATGTTGTACGAACAGCTAATGTAAATGTTCACTTCAAGTAAAGTGATTCCATAAATTGCTCGGGTGAAAACCGCTACTTCTATCTGATCACTCAACGAAGTTTTGAACGAACAGTGAGGATCCGCAACGCAGATTTTGTCTAAAAGGAGATACCATCATGACAAAAATATCTTAAAAACGGCTAAAAATTTCAGTGAGTGTGGCACCTGAGGCTTTGAGCACGTCAATGCATATAGAAATATAAAATTGATCGATAGTAAGAATACCTGCTAGTGGCTGCATCAAAATTAATCAATGATCGTTCATTATCGAATCAGAAAATAAGGTGAAATAATAATAATAATTATTTATTCTCAAATAACAGTTTGTTACATGAAGCATATCAGTTATTAGGCAAGATCGAATTGTTATAAATGATGCAATTTCCATTGTATTGAATGGGTTGCAACGATTTTGCCGCATCCAATTCACCGTACCAAAATTGGAGAATATTAGACAAATGTATTTCTCTAACGGTGGATAATCAGCTGACAACCATAAATATTTTGTCTCGGCGACAGACGAAGAGTGAAGAACCCATTGGCTACCTTCATTCCTTACAACAAGATGCTATCCAAGCCTTCCCCAGCCTAGATTCCTTGGTCTGACAAGATCTAATTCGTTCACGTTTTGTAAAGTGGCTTTTACCAAGTGCACTACGACAGCACCTGTTATACATGCCACCTAAAAGTATACAGGACCTAAAAACCACAATCCTTCACCTAACGGCTGCCCATAAGGTATCAAGCACAACGACTGCAAAATACGGAGGTTGATATATTATTAGATACGGGGGCCTCAGTATCCCTGATCAAGAAAGACTTTTTACGGAAACTCATCTTTAAAATACAGCAGAAACAATGCTCCTCCGCATTATTCACGGCAAGTGTAGACCCTCTGAAAGCATATACTAAGACAGGGTTGGAGCTAACGATAGATAAGGATTCTTTTCAACATGAATTTTTGGTTTGCCATACATTGACCTGAAACGTGATACTCGGGGTGGACTTCATGTTAAAATATCAGGTCTCCATACACAAAGATAAATCAGAAGCGAAAATCGGTGAAGTTGTCGTGCACCTACAACACCATGAAATATCAACTGAACCCGTAGCCCAGGTGGAAATTTCAGAATTTGTACGTCAGATACCAGATAATCAAATAATAAGCGAAAAGGACCGTCAAGCATTAATTTACTTCCGTTTTTTCGAAAAATATCTCTGGAACTCGGACGACCACTGTAAAACATTCCATTTTTACAGGTGGCCACATGCCATTACTCCAACCACCTCGCAGAGTACCAGTACACTATCAGCCTCAGTTAGAACCAATGATAAAAGAGATGCTGGAGATAAAGATTATTGTATCATCCTCGTCACTCTGGGCTTCGCCTATTGTTCTAGTAAAGAAGAAAGATTATCGTCGCCTTAATGCTATAACAAAGTGGGATTCCTTTCCACTTCCGCGGATTGATGCCACGTTAGACGCTATGAAAGGTGCGTGTTGGTTCTCGACTTTAGACCTAACATCCGGGTACTGGCAAGTGGAAGTACGACCCCAGGACAGAAAGAAGACTGCATTAGTCGTAGTAAATGGACTTTATGAGTTTCAGGTGATGTTTTTTGGGCTAAATAATGCCCCAGCCACCTTCCAACAATTGATGCGAACGGTTCTACATGGCCTCGTACAGCACAAGTGCTTAATTTAACTTGATGATATTATTGTGTATGGCAGCACGCCAGAACAGCATAATGCTAATTTGAGGGCAGTTCTACGACGTATTAAGCAGCACAACTTAAAAGTGAAACCATCTAAATGTCGACTCTTGCAGAAAGAAGTACTGTTTTTGGGACATCGAATTACGAAAGATGGAGTAGCAACATATAAGGAAAAACCGAGCGCCATTATTAACTGGCCACTACCGAAATCTGCCGGAGATATTCGCAGCTTCCTGGGACTCACTTCTTACTACAGACGCTATTTACGTGATTTCTCATCCCTGGAAGAACCTTTACATCTGATGCATAAAGGACGAAAATTTTTGTGGACGACAGAATGTCAACAGGCATTCAATTTTTAAATATATCTCTGTTGTGTTAGTACGCCGTGTTCTTACTTCAGTGACATTTACCGGTCCTGACTGTTGTGTTGCGTTTCAGATTGCTCGTACTTGCCAGTAAACGCTCATAGTACGTGCTACAGTGCTAGCGTACGGTCGGTTCATAGGGAATTTTGTACAAAACTTGATAATTAAGACTATGTTCTGTGGACGAATCAATCAGGTTTTGGCTAATAAATCTCAAATTTTAACGCGAAAGCCTTTCTTTCATTTGGCTAAATAGATTTCTGACATTATAGCTTGTAGATCACCAGCGTGGATGATCTATGTCGAAATGATTAGAGGCTTACTCGAGTTAGACGTGAGTGGTGTGACAAACTAGCTAACGCCGAAGTCACACTTCGCAGTCTGCACCTTACATAGATTAGCCCATTGACGTATCAAAGTACTATAGATGCTTTGAAGACTGTACAACACAAAGGACGTTATTGCAGAAATATATTAGTTAAAGTAGATACAAGCGAAGGTAAGACCACTGCCGCATGGGCCAGTCCATGGCGTACCATTAACTGATGCGCGTTGGTTGTCCTTGACATTGACGAGGATTGATGATTTTATTCGATATTCAATGGCTAGGGCTCAGTGGAATTTCACTGGCCCTACAAGCTGATGTCAGTTCGTAATGAAAACCCTATATATATCTAAGGTATAACTAAGGCAAATTATGACAATTATTGCGAAATGGATAATAAAAGTACCAGTAACACTGGATGCAGCCAGGTACTACAATATATAAGGATGATTGGCGATTCTGAAGACTCCTACATAGGCTTGGTTATGTGCATCGTGTATACTTAACAAACGAAGTGCACATAAACAATATTTAAACTATGTGGTCGAGGCTTAAGGAGTTTTTCAGAGTTCATCATGGCTCCGAAGGCTGACTATTCTGTAGCCGTATGGATGATTTCCTCTACTGCATGCATTACGATAATAATTAGTTGCTTTATAACACAGTGTTTCCAATTCTGGAAGAATGCTTCGATTCACAATAAAAAATGTACAATTCCAGTCAATATAAGCAACATAATCAAAGGGAGAAACAAACCACTATGGCTGCCGCCAAGACCAAATATTGAGTAAAGCAACATAAAAACAGTTCAGGAAAAAATACGGAAACTTAGCAAAAGCATAGGAAAAATAAAAACTATAATAAAATGCAAATGTTATCAACTCAAACAGAATGAAAAAGACTAACAAAAAGGTACAAGTAAAGGGATCAATAGGAATAAACTTCAAGTGTATATATGAAGGGATTTTCACACTCAAAACATTCAAATTGATCTTACAGATTATCTGAATCTTCAAGCTGACATAGACGATTTAGTTAGATGGGCTCGATTTTCGGGTCTTAGAAATCAATTCTAAGAAGAGTGTCACGGTAATA